GGTAAGCGCTGCAGTTCCGCCTCTCTAGGCGAAGGTTACGTTACATTATGAAGAGGAGTCCTAACTTCTTTTTCGCCATTCTATAGTAAGAACTTATCAAAAGTCCTTTTTCTTTGCATTTTCTTCAGCTCTTTGATTCTAATTGGCAAGCATTTTGGATCCAATCAACAGAAATATAGATTGATTTCCTTGTTTCTCCTAAAGAAGACTTTTCGGTTTTACATTTCCCACAACCTTTAACCTATAACCTTTCTTTGCCCAACCCCAGAGATATTTTTACATACATACCACGCAAAAGTAAAATTGTTATCTTCACTTTTCCATTACACCACGGCCAACCGCAAAAATGTCATTAAATAATTTCGCTGCACATTCGCAGTGCTCAAAAACAGAGAAATAAAGTGCAAATCGATGGACAAGTTTTCGGTGCTTTGAGGCAAAACAGGCGACTCGAATGGTTTGACTCCCACCTCGCCAGGCAAAAAGGAAAACACACACAAATTATGCAACTCTTCGTCGGCTTTGGCTTGCAACATCTCTGGGCAGGCCAACTCCCGACCCGTCCAACAGTTGCAGATGCCATTGCAGCAGCCGCAGCAGCAGCATCATCAGCTTGTTGAAAATCTTGTTTTGGGAACTGCAAAGCCAGCAACTGCAACAAACGCTTCTTCATTTTCGCGCAATAAACATTTCGCCCCAGACACAAAGGCTTAGCAACAAACAACAACAATAAGAAAACGAAAGTGCAACAACATGGGGCCATAACTGGTTGCCCAGTTTGAACCGCCGTTGGGCTTGGCTATCGCTATTGCTATTACTATTGCATTACGTGCGGTTGGTTCCTCGCCTAGGATCGTTTGACTTTTGGCCATATTTGCGTTGAGTTATGGCGAGAAAGAAGATGCAGCTGAACTAACCAGTTTTCCAGTTTTCCCTTGGCGTTCACGTGGCGTATGAGTAACGCGGAAGTTGACACTTGCTGCACTTGGTACTGCTGTTGGTACGACGATCACTGTGGGTGAAAATTGCCTTGATATATATTTACTCTTTACTGTACATGCCACAGCTAATTGCGGCATTCGTCAAGGGAAGACGTGCAGCCTGCCACAACCAATTCCTATTGCAATTAGACAACAAAAAGCTATGACAAATCCCATTTTGTTTTCTGCATCGCTGTCGTTGTTTTTCATTTTCGTTGGTTGGCCAATCCAAGTGACTTTTAATGACCAGGCCTGCCAGAAGAGAAGCCATCCGGCTGGCCTGTCAATATCCAACGATGAGTTATGTCGCCGAGCCCTTTTACTTTCTTTTTCCACATTTCGAACGTCATTTTAACGATCCCACCATGTTGGCATGTGAAATTATTGTTTATAAGGAATACCATTTTTATTTTTCACTGAGCTAATTTTAGACGATCGTTTCGACAAAAAAATATGCGGAACAAAGCGTGTGGTTTACTGACCATGTTAATGGCTTAATAATTGAGAAGTTCGTTGAGGGTAATGAGGAACTATAGAAAGCGGAAGATGCCTTATAAAACTGCGGGAGATCCGCAATTCTCGGAAGAAATTTACCTTCAACTTTTACCCGAAAAACATTCTAGTTGGTCTTAAAAGCGGGTCATAGAGCTGAAAAGTTGCAAAAACATATTCAATGATAGACATTTTAAGAATAACTATCAAGTTGCTATCTATAGCTTTTTATGCTCTAAAAAATACAAAGTAAGGAACTGCATTTCAGAAAATTTCATAATGCCGCTTATATCACCAATGCAATTCCATTTTCAATTCGATTTCCCAAACAGACCTTTCGCCGCCCTCCTCTGCCCAATCAGGCATGACACTTTGGTTTCATTCACTTTTCAGGCAATTTTCCTCTCATTCAAAAACGAAATTGATTTAATTCTCAATGGCTTGGAAACCAGTTGGGTGCAAAGCCAATCAAATTAAATAAGACCAGAAAAAGAGGCATCGAAAATAAAGAAATAAGCCACTACGAATCGAATACCCGCTGTCCCGTTGTGATTAGCGTTCAATTATTTTATTTGTTTGTGGTTAGCAGCTGAATGGCGATCTCAATGGGATTATTTTTGATGCGATTCGATTTAAACTGGCGCCAGGCTAATGTCAGCTCGTTACCTTCCTAAAGTGAGAAAATTTGTTGGGCTATAATCAAAGGCGATTGAGGTGCGATGATTGAGGGCCCTGAGCCTGATTAGCTCTTAGGCAGACCGGCAAGTGGCATCATCATCATCTACCCTGGCTTTCCTGTTCTTTCACAAAAACAACTTTCATTTTTCAAGCTAAATCCATTAAGAGTTTGTCACCTCTCCGCTCGGATACCGAAATATCTTTCAGATAAATATGCAACCGAACAACAATATTTATAAAGATCTCTCGATTGACCCACTTTCCTTGCCTGGGACAGAACCCAGCACGCCAAAAAGAAATTACAATGAAATGCGGCTTCTTATTATGATTTTTGCTTTATTTTCTTGGATGTTGTTACTGGCGCTGCGACAACAAAAGCCCCGCCAAAAATGAACAGGTTGTAGGGCCCCTGTCAAAAAATACAAAAAAATAAATATAAATTTATTGCCCGACGTAAGTCAATGTGAAATGTCTGTTGTATTTATTACTGGCCCGGGGCTACATTTAATCGAAAATGATAAGCGGGTTATACCATGGGAAGCTTAAAGTGGGCATTTATTAGTTGCCTTCGAAACAGAGAGAGTGAATTTATATGATGAGCATCAATTTGCCATCGATTTCTTAACAAGCCAAGTTTATAGACACGTTAAAAGCATTTTGAAGTGTGCGTTGCATTATTACGTGATTAGTAGTGATAGGTTACTGAAAATTAAAAAGACTTTAAGACTTTAAGTTTTTAAGCACATATCTCTGAGATATTTACATAACCAAACGGAAATATTATTAAAGTATTTTATTAAATGAACTGCAGACTCTGCTATTAATGTTCTTTTTGATTATTTTTTAATCCTAACAAGAAGTGAAAGCAGGGCGAATAAAAATAAACATAAATATGTTAAATAAAAGCAAAAAATACACAAAAAACGAAACAAGCGGCAAACCAACAATTTGGCAGGCCCAGAAAAACATGTTCAGAGAGACAGCAAATTGTTGTTTCTACCGGGATGCGGATTTTAGTTTGGAACTGTGACTGCAGCGCCTGCGCTGTGAACTATGGAACTTGGACATGGATGGGCAACAGATGGTACTGAACAGTTGACTGCCCGGCTGCCAAGTTTACACGACACAAAGACACAACTGCAAGCCGCTACGTGAGGCAATTTATATGTACAAAATAATAATAAAAGTTCAAATTAAGCAATAGCAAAAGAAAAAAAAACAAAACCAAAAACAAAAAAGAAATTGCACATCCACCAATAAGCCGACAAATCCCGAAAAACAACAAAAGTCTCTCAGGCCAGAGCAACTGCAACTTGAACATCGACCAGTTCCTGTTCATTGCCAGACAAAAGGAAGATGATGATACTTTTTTCTTCTGCAGGTTTTTTGTTATTTGGCCAAAAGAAAAATAATAAATTTTTAAGATGCAATCGCAGGCCATTGCCACAGCTTATGTCAATAGTGAGAGATGATGTTGCCAAAAATCTGGTTCGAACACGTTTTTCTTATGTTATAGGAAAAATTGTGCAAGTTTCCCAAAAGGAAATTGGTAAGTCAACCACCGATGCACGAAAAGGTTAAGGACAAAGCTGTTGCGAATGGTGAACACTATGATATTTCGAACGAAAACCAAATAATTTCAGAGATAGGTAGTTACTCTTCTTTTGTTTACTAATTGACTACACTCAGGGCCCTTTAATCTGTCTACCCATTCAGCCATAATCCGATATCCAAACACTGCCCGCAGCACAAACAACATCAAAATAAATCTTTTTTACGTAATCCAAACCTCAATTATAGGCATTAGTTTATCCAAAAAAATACAAAAAAGAAGAGGAGACAACAGAGCTGCTGATTTCACATCATAAATTGCCGAGTGGCTTTTGGCCAAATCTTTATTTTTTTTGGGCTTCGGCTTTATCCGCGAAAGTGAAAACTATAACAGCGGATGCCAAACATGATCCGATTACATCAACATAGGAAAATCATTGAATCTGGTTAAGGTGATCGATTACTTAAGGAACCTTAAACTTAGCAATAAAGATAAGATAAGTTCTCAGAAATCCACATGACTTAACAAGTTTTTGATTTTAACCAACGTTTGGTTTTCTTTTCGATATTTTGGTTTCCTGACCACTCCAAGCGAACAGGTTTAAACACTGTCCCATGACTTTACGGCTTTTACTCTTCCTTTGCATCTTCATTTAATCGAGTCCCCCGCCCCCGTTCGCGACGAAGATAAAAATATTTTTGTGAAAAGGGAAAGTTCATTGAGGCGTTGAAAATCGTTTTCGTTTTCATTTGTTGTCCTAAATGTTTCAACAATTAATATTGAAATTCGAAAAACAAATATATTTATTGAATAAATTGAATTTTTAAATAGGCAGCTACAACTTATCTTTTCTGATAGAAAGTCTTATGCAAGCCAGGGGAATTTCTTTGATAGGCGCTACGGAAAATATATATTTGACTGTTTGACATATTTATGCGAGTACTACTCAACGCATGGCAACTTTCTTTGGTCGAGACTCGGAAAGATCTAAAAACTGTGTCAATTTGTTCGGGGCAGGCGAAGAGTCCACAAAGCCAGATTTAACAATGAATATTTGCATATCGTTCAATGGAAATGCAAATCAAGTGATAAACATTTTTTCTTCATCTTTATGATTATTTGGCACATATTTGGGTATTGACGTTTTATGAGGTATTGCCTTTGTCTAATGGAATTTGGAACACCAGCGATGAGGTTTACAAAATTTGGGGAATTGGATTGATACAGGCCAATGTTGATACAATAAAATATAGTAGGTCAAATTTTTATCTTGACAAAGTTCACATTTCCCAACTTACCCCATTGTGGAGACCAGCATTGGGTGGTGGTATAAATCCTTGTGCATTCACAGTGACCACCCACAGGCACAAAGTGCCCCACATTGCTATAGAGACTCTCATGATTCACTCGCGAATTCCCTTTTGGCTAACTGTTATTGTTTTCTCAATTAATCAGATATCAATGCACTATTTTCTTTCGAAACAAACACGATACCGCTGGAAAATATTCCCCGGAAAAATAAATGGGGGAACGCGCGAAAAAATGTCAGATATGCGACGCGAAATAACAACACTAAATCCAAATCAACTCGGGACGAAGTTATTTTCGTTACGTTTTCTATTTGCTTTATGCAAATGATGCAGTTTTCTGTTTTCTTCGCTCTCGGTTTTAAAATTCCGTTAACGTTTGAGCCGCGTTTGTGGACTTCTAAAGACACTGCCAAATGTTAGCAGCCGCAGACACGACTTGCCTGGTAAAAGTTCGAAGCTTAACTGAAGATCATTAAACGTTTGGTAACAATTTAAGCCAAGCTCGCGACGAAGATGCCAAAAAGCCATCGCAGTGGCACAGAAGACGCTAGCAACATGCGCCCGACACCGGCAACATGTTGCCCGCAGCTCGAAGAGGCAGCCATTTGGTCGAAGAGAAAGCAAAGAGCGTCGATTTGCGGCCGAAAGAGAAAGTGTTGCCGGGTTTTTAGCTTTTTGTCTTTGTTACCTACTTGAGGAAATGGCTAGCATCTGCTTATCAATTTAGCGTGAATCACTGACTTATCGAATCCAGAAATGCCATAGCCGAAACTTAAATCTTTGATAACCAATTTCTACCTGGCCAAACGATTGTGGCCAACAACCACGTAGCTTACTCGGAAGTGACGATAAAAACTCGGATCGGGGGCGTCCGAGAATTTAAGCTTTAACCGAAATTATTTTATTGCATTGCATCGTTTAAGCCAAAGACGTGTGGGTCTCGTTGCTGGTCATGTAACTACAGTAGCTGGTCGATGTTCATGTTCATTGGCGGATTTACTACCGATTTTTTGTAGACAAACAACGCGTCTCTAGACTGATTCATATTTTTATGATTCCCGGGCATGATTAATGCTAAGCTGGAAGTTAGGTTGGGTAATTTGTTTGTGCGATTCCCGCTGAGATCGCATAGGCGATCCATTGAGCAGCACCTTGCACCTTACATCATAGCTACTTTGCAGTAAATCTACATATTACGAACGACTTGATGGCTTAATAGGGAAACTCCAAGTGAGCTGGGGATGATGGGATTAGTAGAATAGATTTATCATTGGATGTGTATCTTAAAATTTTTGAAAGATTAATTAAAAGTTTCTTTCCCACGCTATAATGCTTATAAGGATAAGCTCGAAGAAATATCGAAGGATTTAGAAACTATGTTCATTTAATAAACTATCTTTCGACCTAAGCTACTTATCCAAAATACTCTCTCTCTGAGTTTAGATATTTTCCAAAAGATAAAGTAAGTTAAATTAATAATTTCATTTCCTCTTGTGCAATAAAAATTCCAAAAGAAAAACTTATTTCCTATCAAAGAACCAACTAGACCGATCAACAAATTATTGTACTGACAGCTTTCCACTCAATTATTTCCACTGCCCAAGAAATTCGGTGGCTACTAATCAACTGATCCATCAATCAACTCCACAAACAGGCATTTCATCGCCGGTTTTCATAAAAAACTTTTCACTTTCCGGATGCCGTGGATAACAAAGTGCAATCCCAAGGCCAATTATCTGGAGACCAAATGCAATTCTAAGAGACCCAAACCACAGGTACATTTAAGTGGCGATTGCATAAGTGGCAAGCGCCAGCTGGCTTATCAGGCTTTTGGCTTCTTTGTTCCATTCACAGACAATGATAATGACCCAAGATGATACTAAAGTTCGGGCCCCTCGCTTGTCCAAGTCATCTCTCCTCGGATCTTTTGTAGTGCGTGCTTAAATTTGATTTGATGACTTTCTTTGTTGACCGATCATTGGGCTGTGAGAAAAAAATCTTCTGCTCAATCCCAAAAATCGGTGGAAAAAATTTTCACCTGTTGACTGATTGAATTGTTTGCACAATCCATGGTAAATATTAACAGGAAGTTAACCCCTTGTCAAATCAATTTCTAATTACCTGATTTCAATTTCTTTCAACTTATATACTTGCATATTTTGGCGATTTCTGTCTTTCTCTCTGTATATCCCCCGGCGTGCTCGTGTTCCAGTAATTACTTCCCACACACGGCGAAAACTGTGAGTTATAATTGCCAATTTTGCTTGTTGGTTAATGGTGTGGCATTAAATTTTGACTACCAGGGTCACAAACAGGGCAATCCCAGTGAAAATACAAAAAATATCCAGTGGCAATTGGATCTTGTCTTCGATCAATTACAAGCCATCGAAAGTGTTGGGACAAACAAGTTGTGACTTTAAGTTTATAATTGAATAATTTCACATTAATTTGGTTTACTATTTTATTATTTTTGAAAAACCATTTACCAAAGGTGTGTTTAATTATCGCAGCCTTGCCTTTTGTTTTATCCTAAACCACTAAGCTGACCTCTGGTGAAGACATTTATGTTGTCTGCAATTTAGTTTTATGCCAGAAACTTAAAATATGTAATTTGCGGGAAAATGCTCCTAAAAACAGTACTTTTGATGAATCAGATTTAAATAATTTAAAGATAAAGGCGTTCTAAGACATTAATGAAACAACAATTTGTACTCCCAAAGTCTAGTTAAAGATCTTGATGAATGGGCAGCCAATGGACAGTTAATATATCTGCCCAAGATTAACAAAAAACAAAAGCCATTGCCAGACAGACGGAAAACAAAAACTGAGGCACCGAAATAAGACTAAATGCTTTACAAATATCCAACAACAAAACGCTCGAGGGGAAAGACTTTCACCTTGCGACGAATGATCAAAAGAAAGAAGCAAAGAAATGTGCGAGGTGGAGAGAAGGAGAAGCAAAAAGCCAGGCCAAGAAAAAGGCAGGGGCATTTTAAAGGCAGAAGAAGCGGCCTTCGAGATACCAACAGATGCCATGGACCCGAAACCGAAAAACCAAGACCGACCTGCAATGGCCTTCCACCTGGCAACAACAAGTGGGCAACCCGACGATCATGATCATGATCATCGGCAGGCGCTGAAGAAGCCACCATCGTACGTCAATAAACCTTTGACTCAATGACGCTTACACAGCCGCCTGTGTTTTTATCACTCGATTCCAAAACCCTCGTAGGGAATGGGAATGGGAATTGGTGGTCTTCGGTGTGAACGATCGTGAGCTGGCAACTTTTACTTTTCATTCAAGAATGGGTCGGGCTTGGGATTAAGTCATATTGGACTGTGATGATCCGCTGGCTGTACTTAGAATTCTACTTTCCCCGAAAATCTTCCAACTTGTTAACCCCCACGCAGGCACTTGGGGGAATCAAAAGTGAAAACAAAACTTTGGACATTTGAAGCTGTCAAGTTTGGGAACACGCCAAATATCTTCAGCCGACATTATGTGTTGTCTAAAAATCTTCAAGTCATTTAGTATAATCTTCGACTATTTATTAAGCAACTATTGACACCATCCACTAATAGCTTAAACAGATACAGTTATTATTAGTAAGGGCCCTATTTAAGCTTAAGCACAATCTTCAAAATTCATATACAAATATTAACAAAACACAACAAAAATTGCCAACTTTGTTGTCTTTTCATTAAAGATGCTGTCGGAAATTGCATAATACATGCGAATGACCGAAGATTTGATGAATTAATAACAAAAACTAAATGATTGCGGAGCCCTTGCGGCAAAATTCGAATGGTGTCACGTGGAATCATTATGCCCAACACCAAAATTGGGAAAGGCGAAGAAGTCGGGCTGACAAAATTAGACCAAGCATGGAGTCAATAACTTTTGGTAACCATTTCCTCTCGGAATGACGGATAATGTCAATTAAGGTTCGAAAAGAGTGTTTGTAATATTATTTAACTAATTCATATAATTAATGGATGAACTAGATTAAATCAAGATGAAAGCTCTTGGGTCTCACTTGAAAAGCCTACGCTAAAGAAAGTAAATAAACCAGATAAAACATAAGTCCTATATATTGATTATTTGTGAAATATCTATACTTACTACTACAGTCTTCTAATTTTTAACCACATCTTTAAAATTCATGTTCCAGGCAATGAAAAAGAGGAAAAACTTGACTTTGTATTTGACATATTTTCTACATTATGCCTAAAAGTAGACAATAATTATCATACCAAAAACCACCATAAATTTCTTATTAAAAATAAAAACAGACTTAATTTTGAGTACATAGTTTTTAAATTTATTTATATTTTTTTGTTGTATTTCTTGTAATTGTAATTGATTACATGTTGGTTTTCTTGATCTATACAATTAATATGCATCATTAATTTAAAATTGATATATCTGTACGTATAATTTTATAATTATAAGTTTTTTCATTGTTTCTTTAATTAATACTAAACGTTAAATTCGAACACACTTTGTAAAACAAGTTTTGAAAATGGATTTGTTTTTGTTTTTAGTTTTTTTTGTTTTGTCAAAATTGATAATAAAACACATAAAGAAAGTATCAGAGATGTAATTAAGACGAGTGGCAGAGAATACATTTACAAATAATACGAAACAAGCTCCAAAGGATCGCAGCTGTGTGTGTGTATATATAGGCTTAGGTATTGTAGTCCTATGTGATATATATCCAAAAGTCATGAGCAAAAATTGCAATTTGTGTACAGTGTTTATCTAAACTTACAGGATTACAGGTTACAAACTTCGTTCAAATTACAGTCTGGATTTGGTAAGCCTTCTTACCCAGCTCAAGTTCCTACTAAAACTGTCAGCCGTCGTCGTCGTCGTCATCGTCTTCTTCTTCTGTTTTCAATACACAAACTTGAATTTGAATAAAACATTATTTATTTGTTGTTTTGTTTGTTTTTGCCTCCACTAATACGGTTTACATAGATGTGGTGGCGCACTACAATTATTGTATATTGGGTTGGTTTATTATTCGGTTGTGATATTGGCCATATTTCTTGTTTCTCTAACCGTCTAGTTTAAATAGATTTATATAGTTCATTAAATATATGTGTTTTTTTTTTTATTTATTAAATTATGACATGTATTCCGTGTGGATAGGTTTTTTTTTGATGGGTGATAGTTCATTCATTTCCATGTCGGAATATCAAACGCATCTTGCATTGGTAGACTAAAGAGCTGATTTGCTTCAGTGTGATGTAGTATGATGTTGATTGGCCATCGAACCTCGAAAAAGATCTTAAACTACGAATACAATTACAGTTAATATATATAGATACATTTCGGTTTCGCATATGTAACTAATAACAGCCTTGATACTGTTGCAAAAGACATGGAAGCTGTATGAAATAACCCTATAAATATGTATGTATCTTTGAGTTCGGGTAAGTGGTTGATGCGTTGGGTGAATCGTTACAAATGTTGTCTACAACTATGTATGTTTAGTATATGCCATATCTAAATAAACTATACCTAGGTTATCTTGTTCCTTTGAGCTGGCTTCTGTTTTGTTTTTGTTTTTCTTATAATTTTTGTTATATTTGAAGGTTTGTTAATGTTGAATACAGTGTAAAAGGATGACTTGCAACACCTTGGTAGTTGGAGGGAAGAAAATACTTTTCAGGAAGGGTTCTTTGAGGGTGTGAATACGATTGCAAATACCTTTAGCTATGGCAGTAGCGAAATAAAATATGGTTGTTCAGGGAAAAACTGAGAATACTGCAAAGTGCTGCAAGAAGGGATTCCCTCCTAGCTAGGTTGCATCTATTTCGAGTGGGCAGGGATTTTTGAATCAGGAGCAATTGGGTGTACAACAGCAATGCGCTCGCATTCAAATACAATTCACACACGACTTTAGTTCCTACATAGCTTACATATAACAATAACTACACCTAGGTGCGAGGAGGCCCATCCACCATCGTCTCAATCTTTGCCTACTCATCCTCCCGCTCCTTAACATCAGCGCAGTGCTGTGGACGCCACTTCTAGCTCCAGAAGTCCATCATGTTAACCAGCTTGCACTTCTTCAGCTCCAACTTTGTTGGTCTTGCCCGGAGTCAAGCCCGCCCAAAGATGGCCCTGTCGGAGACATCGCCGGTGGACTGTGAGTGTGACATGGCCATGGAGGCTGCTCCCGAGGACGATTGTTGTTGTTGCTGGCCACCAGCTCCATGGTGGTGATGGTGGTGTGTGGTTGTGGCTATTGTGGCCGTCGATGCATTATGGTGCGTCACATTGTGATGGTTATGCGCCAACGTTGAGCTTCCGTATTTGGAGGTCATGGCACCGACAATTCCACTTCCGGTGCCATTCAGATGCTTCCTGGTGGCCGCCGATGAAACGTGATGGGTGCTGCCACTTCCGACTCCTCCATAGATGCGGTGCAAGGAGTATTGCTGTACAGATTCCAGATCCGAAACACTCGACGTAATCTTCGAACGCACCGCCACTTTCTGCATGCTGTTGTACTTGTCGCTGGCACTCAACTTGATATCGGGCAGGTGTCCATTAGATTGGGCATGACCGTGACTCTGGCCCGGCGGCTGTTGTCTCGACTTGGTTGTGGTGGCAATCGCTGCATTGTGCACCGCCGTGGTGCTGGTAATCGAGGCTACCACTGGGCCATTGGTGCCCGGCGAGATCTCCGAAAAGCTGTAGCAGGAAGACTTCTGGGAAACACTATTTAGACCGGAGCTGGAAGAACTGCTCGACATGCGGCAGCTGCGATGGCGACTGGAGGTGGAGGGCTGCAGAAACTCATGGTGGGCCGCCTCATCCGGCGTCATCCTCTCCGCAGGATCCCATTCCAAGCATCGCTGTAGGAAGTCAATGAAGTAGCGGTCCTGGCAGTGTAAAATCTGTGCCAGTGACTTGCTGCCCGGCGTTCGTTTGCGTCCCTTGGTGTTGGTTATGCAGCGCGGAGCATCACGAGAATCAAAGAACAGACGGCGCCTCCTGGCCACCGAGATGAGCACCTTGGGCGGCAGTCCCAGCACCTCCATGATGCAGGCCAGCTGCTCTACCTCGTTCTCGCCGGGGAAGAGAGGGAATCCGGTGTACAGCTCGGCCAGAATGCAGCCTATAATAAATCGAAAAACAGAGAGGTTGACATATAATTAGTATTGATTTTCGGTTCTTGATGGGGGGCAGCAGGAATTGCTGCAGTCATTTCGGTTGGTCAGACAGGCGCATTGACCTTGACTTTGTAACGAACCAGATTATTTATTTCCTACGGCGCTTTGTAATGGACTTTGAGACTCTGAGTATCTGAGTTGGATGATCAGTCACGGAGAGATGTCACTGCAAGATGACCGAACCATGGCCTTCGACTGACATTCTGTGACACAATGGTTTTTCTTAGAAATGTGGCTATTCATCTCGATTGGCAAGAGGTGGAAAGAAACTTAAACTTATAACGTTTGTTGTTCACTTTAAAGCTGACCTGTTTAGTCTACCCCACTAATTCTAGTATGCAACTTATCTGAAAATATATATATTTCCAACCAGTTCAGCCTGCATCTGGGACTCTACTTCATCTCCCTGCAAGCTTATTTACCTAATGAAGCTGAAAGCAATCAAACCCACACATATCTATGGCAGATGACCCATTCTGGTGCAGAACCGAGTTTTCTAAGAGCTCACATCATTCAACACGTAACCCATTTCCATCGCCTTACACTTACTCTATATGCTCAGTGCACAGTAAGTCAAACATGTGGCCCATGTAGAAGCCCAAGCCCAAGCCCAAGATAGCGGATAAAAATAAACTGAGCTGGCTTTTATTAGGGACCCAGAAATAACAACCTGCCACCACCGCAGGACCTCACGTCCGTGCGCACATTTAATGAGTCCTTTGTTGTCGACGGAGCTCACGATATTTTCTGCTGCTGACCGGACGTGGTTGTGGTCGGAAATGGGCGCTAAAAGGATGTGCACGATGAGGCCGACCGGGAGTGGCTAAAAGTCCGGGACTGGGCTAAGTTGAGCTGGGCAGAGGCAGGGGCAGGGCAAAATTATTGTATACATAAACTTCAAGTGGGGCGGCGGCAGCACTTGTTGAGTGTGCCCCTTGACCCGAACCTCCGGCACCTTTGTCGATATCTCATTGTTCGGTCGGATGGAGGAGGTCCTTTTCCGCCATCGCCTTTGCCTGTTGCTACTAATTGGCCTAGTGCGTGTTCTTACACTTGGTTGAGCTTTTCGGTTTGGGCCAGGTCATTTGAACGGCTAAAGTGTTTTACTGAGAGAGAAAAAACTGGATAGCAAAGACAGACATCTTAGGAGTTTATCTTAAGTTCTCTTTAACCAAAAAGTGAGTATATATTCTCTTTAAATTTTAAACTTAAAAAGTTCAAACAAGAAAGTCTCATTAAGAGATGGATAGGTTAATATTCATTTAATATCTGGATTTATTTTAATGATTGTTAAAATCCTTCCTCCCACTTCCCTAAGTTTAGCAAATGCCCCACAAACACGAAACTCGTCCAAGTGCAATATAACCCACAAATGTTTAATTTTTAATCCTTGCCATGACCATCGCCATTACCGTCGATATTTATAGGGCCAACGTGTGTGGGCCATAAATTTGCTTGCCAAATGCAGGGCAAGCATTTAAAATTTCATTGCAACCTGAACATGTTTCCCAGCCCACTTGGGAACACCACACAACACACTGCCACTGCTGGGGCGGAATGTTTTTAATTAAAATTGGACACTCACCCAAGCTCCACATATCGATGGCGGTGCCGTATTGCAGGCCGAGAATCACCTCCGGGGAGCGATAGAATCTCGATTGGATGTACGTATAGATTTTGCGATCCACGTAGCATGAGCTGCCAAAGTCGATGACTTTAATAGAGCTGCTACCACGCTGTTTGAGCAAGATGTTTTCCTATTTCCATTTCAATAAAAATTCGAATTAGATAAAGGAAATCTCAAGGAAATCCAATCCACTTACCGGCTTGAGATCACAGTGAATGATGTTTTCCTTGTAGAGCAAACGCAGGCACTTCACAATCGAGTTGCAGAAGCGTCGTATGAGACTCATGCTGAATCCATTGTAGTTGTTCTTCTTAATCAATTCATAAAGGTTCAAGCTGTAAGGATACACAGAATATATGAAGTATTAGTAGTATGCAACCCTTTGTTTTTGCAGCAAAATGAGTCAGCAACAAACCCCCCATGGGAATCGGTATCGGAATCGGTTGACAAAACAAGAGACACTCTCGCGAATGGCGAAACAAAACAAGGAGTCAAGTCAAATGCCGGCCGCTTTAAGCCCTTGTTGTAAGTATATATATATATATATACTATATACTTGTACCGGCAACATGCACTGAATTAATTCCCATTGCATGTCGGGCTCAAATTTGGCCATACAACGATAACATTCTACGTCAGCAACAACAATATTGACAATGTCAGTCATGAGCAGTCACTCCGGCAGACGACAATAGAACGATACTGAAAATGGTGGCAAATCAAGCTGAAAACAGCAACTAAACTATACAGACAGTGGGGCAAGTCTCAGTCTTTACTTTAAAGTCACAGATATAAGTCATAGAAACGGCAACATCTGAAATCATACCTCATAGAATGTTTTATGTTCTTAGGTAGAATAGTTATATTTTCTTTATAATTTCCAAATATTTTCACAATTTTCAACTTTAATTCATGTACCAAAAACCACTGTCTGAACATCCCTCCTCTGGAAATCCAAAAGTGTCCCCTAACTTTGTCAACCCCTTCGATGTTTTTGTTTACTTTGCGATTTCTGTGCCATGTTTTGAATTCGCAGTTTATGCGATTGCTGTCGATTAATTAACTGATAACAAAACGAGTTTCATTGCCTCAATGTCAATGCAACCACAAAAGAGACAACTACCCAAGATTACAGTCGGTGGGTGTAATACACTCCTTGATCAAAAGTTTGGTCAATTGTTGTTGCCAGTGTTTTTTCATTTTCTTTCTTCTTTTTGGGAATCGATGATTGATGACTGTTTTTTGTTTGTGGCATCATCAGAAGGGTGAGTTATTTGCCTCCATGCCCTATCAGTCCAAGAGATTTTCTCCCGTTCATCATCATCATATAGAGCTCAATTTATTGAAGTTGCTTTCATTTCCGTTTTTTCTCCCTAAGCTGGTATATATTCACATGGCTATCAATAACTTTATCGCCTGCTCATGAGTGCTGCTCTGACATGTTTGACCTATATAAAAGAGTCAGTGCTAGATGGCCAAAAGTAATAACTGCTCCCGGCATGAAAGGACTCGGGAAATTTGTGTGGGAGTAGTTGGATATGGTCTAAAGGTTGAAGGCATTAAAGCTAGGGAAGTGTGAATATGAATTTCTGAATAGTTGCAAAAAGGTCATGGAAGAAATAACTTATTAAACTTTTTCTTTAGCTCGGAAACTGGTAAAATCATTATTAAATTTAGTTCTGTTAAAGAGAAGTATCCCTTTGTCCATAAATTTGACATTTTGTTTGTATTCCCTTAACTTTAGTCCGTCTGACTTTTAACATTTTAATCGCTTCTTGAGGCTTTCAGCCATGTTCTACAGCTTGTAGATGCCGTAATCCAATTTAAATTTATGTCAGCATACGGATAAGGCCAACACTCACTCACTCCGAAAACCGCTAAGAGTGTTTAAAAGCGCGCTAAGCTGATTGAGCTAACAGAGAGCCAAGGACGTTTTCTCGTGTTTTCCCCGCTAGCCAAAGCCACATAATGGCATGGATGACTGTCAAATCGTTGGGACTGGGGAGGTGTTGGAGGTGGAGAAGCCAGTTCCACCCAGCCCAGACCACAAAGGTCACGCGGCTTTTAATTTGAAAACTTTTACATTGCAACTGTGGCGCCTACGAGAATGCCAAAATAGCAGACTTTAAAGGTCTGACGGTCTTTAAAGTAAAAGCCTGATATTGATTTTACAGCCAGCCAGCCAAAAAAAGAAAACGAAAGAGAGATGATGAGCGGTTGTGGGTGAAAGAAGGTGGGTGTAAAAGGCTTTTGGCAAACAGACGAGTCTATAACAAACCAATAAGAAAATCATCAAAATGTCATAATTTCAATCGGCGAATCGGGACAGTGTACATGTGTATGCTTAGAAGTCGGCATATTATAACTGCATTATGACATGCCACACAGCCAATGCCAAAAGTCCGTGAGTCTGCCATGAACTTGAAAATTGTTTTCGGCTGCCTGGGGGCGTCTTTTTCCGGTCCGCTCGCTGTTACTTTTTTCTTTGTGCCGAAATTCCGCTGGTAATTTGATTGATTATTTGCCCCAGCGCCGATGCAACTGCAACATGCAATTGTAACGAGCCACTAATGCCTTGCATTTAGCACACCAAAAATGGAACAAAAGAAAGTGAATTTGGATAAACAAAGCCAGGAAAATCGAATGACGCCCAAAATAAACAACAAATACTGAGATAAATTCATGAAGGTCTTCATTTCCTCGCTTAATCCGAGGAATTTCTGTATTTTAGTTATTAAATTTTTTGAAAATATCTCTCAGATATGTCCTGGCAATAAGCATAGCTTTTTATGGCCTTTCTCAGCACTGTCAATTGACAGAGTTCCTGTCACCGTGACGAAAGTGGTATCACCTTCCCTCTGTGTGAGTTGAAAAATAAACTTTTTCCTTGCTTTTCTGGCAGCTTTCAGCATAAATTTTAAATTGGATTCCCTGGAGCTGGTTTGAAAACGAAAAGAGACTGCCATTGATTGACAAGTGAGTGTGGTGAAAAGTGGAAAAGCTGTCCTTTCAACATTTGCATAGCGAATCCCGACACGTAAACTTGCGGTTATCGATTACTAGGAAAGCCACCTTTCATGTTTTAATGATGAGTTCTTCGAAAAAGGTTTTAAACTAGAGCTGCTTATATATTATACATTTTGTCTCTAATTTCCTTTTAAATAACCATAAATATTCAGAGTTAAGCGGCTTAACCGAAACGCCAGGAAAAAGCTGCCTTTGAATTAATGATGCTGTCCCAGGCTGGGACTTTGGCTTGTGACCTTGCTTTTCATTTGCCCAAGGACCAGCTAAATTTTCCCGCAAAATATCCTTTTTTCTTTTCTCGGCTTGCCTGTCGTTGTGCGGCATTTTAATTAGTCGACGGCCGTATGACAGCCGGCTATGTAGTCGAACCGTAAATAATCACAGAAATGCAGAAAGATATCCAGCCTTAGCCACAGCCAGCGAAGTGGAGTGGAACTAGGGGAGAATCTACCTTTTAGTAGATGATAAATGACTTGGCCTTGGCCACGTTAACTGGCTTCTATCTTTCACCACGACGGACGTAACACGGCAAAACAAACTTAATGCTTGGGAAATGTCAATTAGCAGTAATTACTGTGCCATGGCACGGCATAATAATAACCTACATCAACATCCACGGAACAGCTGACACCGAACTCACCTCCCCCTTGCTAGTATTTATTCTCCTGGTAACTCAATCCGCGAACTCTGGCCGTCGTTCTTGCCGTCCTTCGTCCCTAATTGCAATTTACACGCGCTGAGTGCAAAAATTAATTAAAAAGAATAAACTTGCAGGACCTGCTCATTTGCATGGCGACGCCCACTAGCTAGCTCTGTTCACGCACGCCGCACGCCGCATGTTGCATTTTAATTAAAAATCATTTCGTCCTCTGGTCCTCTCGTCTTCTCGTCCTGTCACCCGCCACATGAGCAAGGGCAACGGAATGCCGACGACATCTCATGTCGGTTGTCTATGTCACTTTCACGTGGTCGGTGGGCATGTCCTGGAATAGTCAATTACACGGCTGATGACAGGCGGTCACATGCTGCATCTGTTTGACATTGATTGGCTTTGAAATGGAAAAGGTTGTGGTCGAGAAGTGGGTCGCCAGGTTTATAAAAAGCCATAGGTTTTTGTTCGATTTAATCAATAGTTTAAGTGGCAAATCTAAGGATTTAATTGAATTTTTTGTAATTTTCAATCTGTAATCCATTAAAACTAAAATATTTTAACTCTTTTATAGAATAGTTAAGATTTCTAAGCGATTATCGTCTGATCTCGTTTTGAGCCATATAAATTGAAATGAAATCATGACACATGGCATAGCGAAAACCCGCCGAGTTGAGAGAGTAAGTCAGTGGCATTGGGAGCGAAGGAGGCAGGATACATCCCTCCGGGGCAACATTAGCTGAAATTTATGTGCTTGACACACACACCCACACGGACATAAAGTTGCACAGACATAGTGAAACTTGGCCACATCCACAAGGCCTCAGGCATGTTCTTGTCGTTTTTCGGCCAAAAAGGAGCAGCGTCATTCTCGCCGGGACAATATGCTGCATAGTTATGGGGGCAGCTCAAAATGTCTGTTGGCTGTCTTTGGCACTTTGGCAGCTCTCATTTTATCGCTGTCGCTGTAAATTATATGCCTCATAATGCTAAAACAAGACCAAAAACAACCGCCTGAAAATGCCACCTGCCAGGGTCGAATGTGGAAAATCACCCAAAATATATGCTTGTGCGAAATGTGTCACTTGGCGTCAATTTAGTTCCAACCATCCCAGGCTCTCAGTTGTCCTTTTTGCGAAATGAAGTCCTTGAATGTGTGCGGCTTTGTGTGGAGGTGAAATAAGTGTGTCACTTTAGGGACCCGGATTAGGTTTCATATTTGCAGGCACACTCTGCGGACCTCTATAATGTCCTTTTGCTAATTAGCTAATCAGATTGTGGGCCAGGCTAAGCACCGAAAAATGTTCCCCTCATTTAGTCAGCCAGAAACGAAATGAGAAAATGAGGACAACACCACAGTGACTATCTCGTTTTCATTCCAAAAGGAAATGGGTTTTTTCTTTGATTTAATTACTTTTCCAATTTCTATCAATTAAACCGCAGGAAAGTTAGATTTTTTCTCAAATCTTATGCCTGACTAATCCTATCAGGGAAATGAAATCATTTCATGGAAGGGAATTTCACCCTTCTTGGGGCATGCAAATTAAATTGCGTGCACGTAAATTTAATTACGTAAAACTTGCCATACAATTTGTTTACTCGTTCAAAACAAACTTTAAAACTTGCCGCTGAGTTGTCAATGCGGTTCCCCGAACTCCCTGGTCACTCTCTCGCAGTCGCAAAACTTTGCCCGCTGCAGGAAAAACTTCTTCAAAAGCTGAGAATAAAAATAAAACCCTAAGTGCTCACTCCAAGCAGGAAACAATTTTGCGGCTAATTAGTCGCAGAGCAAATAATTAATTAAATTTTTGGAGTTGGCTTGGTGGGGGTTTTAACTTTGTCTACCCATCGATTTTTAACTGTCGCCTAAAAATTAAGATTATTAGTGCCCAATTTTGATGGCGTGCCACTGGCCCATTTGAATCTGGAAACCCAAAATCAGTTCTCAAAAATGTCAACTTGCAGAAAATGTTAACTTGTATTTGATTTTTTTTTTTCTTTTTTGGCCTGCAATTAAGACAAATTAGTCGTACGTCGGCTGACGGAAATGTCAAGCTCAATGGCTGGGATTGTAGGGATTTTAGGAGTGAGAAGGAGTGTAGGAAAAGGAAACAACTTACAAGACCGCCGACCTTCGACGTTCGCTTTCTTCAACTTTGACTGTTGCATCGCGTGCCGGTTGTGTGCCTTCTCTGGGATTTATTTTTACCATATTTGCGTTGCCTGCTGTCTAAACTTTGACATATGCAGTCAGTTTTTATGCCCTGCCTCGTGCCACCCTCTATGATAGTCAACACCTGAGCTGCTCAGCGCATTTCAATGCTGCCAATCAATTAGGTTTCTGCCTATACACCCACATGCAGACCCCCGGAACATACAACAGGTTTTTCTCAAAGGGGTTGAGGAAATGCATTTTCCTACACTGGGCCTGCAAGTAGGCCACCCAACATTCAACATTTAAATTGAAATTGATGGGCCAAGCGGCGTTTGTGGTCGATGGCTGTTTCGATTGTGTCTGCGTCTGTCAGTTGTTTGCGCTTTTGTGGCATGTAAACTGCGGGGGCAGGAAACTAAATAGATATTTATATTGTTTAGCAGGGAAATGCGGGTTTGGGGTATCTCTATAGGCCAACCTTATCCTCACACCCGTTAATAAATTAATTTGAAAAACTCATAAAAAGAATTATGAAAACCACTTGAGAGCCTTTATATCATAGGCATAGGATTTATGGCCTTATGAAATGGCAAACCGAAAGCCATTTAATATCCAAACACAACACACAGCCCAATGAAACTTAACTGGAAGACAATGAAAAACCTGCAGAGTCCGCACATATGTGTGAGCTTAAGGGAAACCAACCCAAACCCTCGTATCGCAATGCGTGCTAGGTACTTGGAAACATGGAAATTAATAATAACCAAATTTTATGGCCACGAAACACGCAACGCAAGTTGGCAAGCAATAATTGGCAGAATGTTAATAGAAATGCGAGTTATACGCGCATTTAATTGAAGACACTAAAAGACGACTTCAGGCCTCACTTGCTCCGCGTGACTGGCAAAAAAGAGCCAAACAAATGCCACTGCATTGACGTCAGAAGGAGTTAAGGAATTATATTTATGGATTAACCAAGAACAAAACTCACCTCATTAGCTCAAAGGTAATGCACAAATGCTTGCGGAAATATGTATAGTCGAGCATGTGTATAACATTGTGAGATCCATCTGCATCCTTTTCGCGCAGCTCATCGAGGATATTGAGCTCGACGACTGCCTGGTTTAGGAAGCGCTTCTTGTTCCTTATAATCTTGATGGCCACGTGTGTGTTGGTCTTGTGGTCCAGAGCCCTGATGACCTGGCCAAAACTGCCTTTGCCAATTACCTCCAGAATCTCGTAACGGAAGGCTATGTGATCGTGTTCGATCTGAAATTATAATAAATAGTTATTAAATATATTCAATAATATTTCTATGCTTAACTTACGATCTTGTAGTTGCCATTATCATCGTCATAGCCCATATTGGTGGTGTTGGCTGTGGGGGCGGGTTTGTTGTAGTTCTTGCTGGCGTGCTGGCCAAAATACCAGACCTCGTTGTAGACCTTCAGCTCTTCGAACTCAAGATCGGTTAGATAGTTGCGGAACTTCTTAACCAGCTCTGTTAAAACAAAAAGAAAAGAATTCGTTAGAAATAAATCAGAAAAATCTAAGGGATAATTTTTTCTTTTTATTTGCATTCTCATTCTCAACTGAAATTTAATTTCCGTCACTTTTAAAAGCTTTTTCATGCTTACTCTCCACTGAAACAACTGGTCCTTTTTACTTATTTTCTAACCAAAGTGAACAGGTAATTGAGAATTTTCCCATGTGGCAACTGCCACTCTAAAACCCTATTGACCCTGACCTCAATGCCATTTTACTTGTTTTTCTAAAATGTATATAAAATTAATTAGAGACCCGGGGAATGATGGAGTGTGGCCACCAGATGCCTGGAGGGTGTGCTCAACTAATTGGCATTGGGCTGCAGCGATGCAACCCAGCAAACGCACAAAGCATCGCCAGGCTTTGGCCTCTGAAATGGGCAGCCACTTCATCCCATTTTTGGTGCAAGGCGAACTTAACCCACTGAGGGTAGAACAAAAATGTAGAAACAAAACTTAGTATCTTGAAATTTCATCTTGGTATCAATAAAAAAATAAGAAAGTTTCTTCATTTAACAATAAATTATAAATGTAACATTTTAAAGCGTGAATGGGTTATAGTAGATAATTCTGGTTACCAGATTGTGTCATGGGCGTGTTGCATTTGGGCTCGGCACTTCCTGTGCTGCTGGCCGAGTTTCCCGAGCTCCCACTTCCACTGCTGCTGTTGGATTTTGTGGAGGAGCCGCGCTCATTGCCGCCATTACTGCTATTTGTTGTCGATGAGGAGACGGGTGATCCTATATTATTGTTGTTGCTTTTGATGTTGCTGTTGCCATTGCTGTTCCCATTGCCATTTAGGGATGTGGTGGTAACAGTTTGCTCGTTGGCAGCCACATGGTTGTTATGGCCATCCAAACGTCGCGTGCCATTGAAAAGCTGTGGCAAGTCCAGTCGAGAGCCCGACAAACGAGCATCTCGTCGCAACTTTTCGTTGTCCAGCTGGATCTGCAATAAAAACATACCAGTCATTAGTCATTTTATCCGTTGCGGAATCATGTCACTTTTTTGTAGCATACTCCCGGGCAGTAATCAAATTCGGGCTGGAGAAGCTGATAGTTCGTGACTCCAAGCCGTAGAAATAAGCCTACTTTTTGGCGCAACTCCTTATTTGCCATACGTTTGCGTATCTTCTTCCACTTCATTGATATTAATTCGTTTTTTGATCAAAGAATATTTAACTTATAGAAATATAACAAATTCTTTCTTGACAATAAAATCGACGTGTAAAATCTCTCAAAAGAACAGCTGAGAATGCTAATTATGTGAACTTTTCAATTTTACTTTGAAATAAATGGAAATGTGATTTCGAAATGTTTTGAAACAAGGTCGAATGGCGGATATCTTACAAGACTTATAGATCTCAGTTTATTTGTTAACTACTTCCGGTTTATGGAATCCATCTCACTTACCGGCATTTCGCATCGATCCAACATTGTGCCGACTTTGCTGTATTGTCGATTTTATCCAAAAAGAGAAACGTATCCACAAAGAACAGTCACCCTGAGCCCGCTGTGCTTAACTGGTTGAGTTGTATCTCCTCTTCCGGCAAACAATTATTGATAACTTTCGGGGTAATATGTCTTTGGGGCGCACATTTGCATTTGTTTTGGTTGTTGGTTGCCAACTGCAAAGAGGTAAGAAGGTAAAACTCAATGAGAAATGGACGACGGAAGTCTTTAAACCCTTGACTTTTAACCCTTCTTTTGCCAGTTACTAATGCGGCTAACAAAAAAAGGAAGCAGAAGTCAAAGAAATATAATAATAATAAATAATATAGAATCAGCGGGCGATGCGCATTCCAAGTGCACACCATAAATAAAAACGATAAATGGTAAACAGCAACGCCCCCGAAAATATCAATGATATGCCATAGGGCATATGGCCATAACTAACTCAGAATACCAGTCCGTCCGTCAGTTGCCAGTTAGCAGTTTTCATTGTCAAGGCGGGCGACGACAAGCGGCCTCATCAAAAGGCCCGAAAAACTTTATTCATATTTTCTCCACAAGGGTCGTAAAGAACCAGTCGTAGTCGTTTCTGCCCCCATTATACCCATGCCACAAGTTCCCATTCCCCTAAAATGCAAGGGCCGGTTCGGCTCTTGGCTGACAGGCATAAAAAAACTCGGAAACCAAAGTCATGGCCAATTATTGGCCTTTTTCTTGTTGTTGGGCTCGTTGTGCATTTGACAGTTCGAACGTTGTTGTTGTAAGGGATCCCAAACTCGAACTCGCACACTCAATATGCATAATAATCCTAACTAACCCTTTTCACAAGAAACCCAAAGCCACCCTTTTCGTTGGCTAAGTGCAGCGCTCGGCAAGTTCGGTTTGTTTGGTAAGTTTTCCTATGAATAGTGGCATAATGAAAGCGGTTTTTCGGAAGTGCACTGTAATGAAATTATATAAGTTTTGTTTTGGATATTACTATGCTTTTATCTTACTTCATTTGTAATGCAAATTATAATATCATTGTTTGAGATTCATCATTAATTTATACTTTCAATACCAAACCTAACAACTTTCCTATACCCAAGAACTTTTCTCACTGCACCGCAAAGAGATTCCCCAAATATTGCTGTGGCAACCCCTTGGCTAGTTCCTATTTTACTTAACTTAACTTTTAGCTGTCTCTCTATATCTTTTGTGGTTTGGCATGCTCAGCTTAAATTTATTGGCCTTTAAAACTTTTCTGTCATAAAATCATAATTTACAGCATTCGTTTTCTTCATCAAACTGACAGTTACTGTGAGTTCGGAAGGTGGTCTAACGGCAGGGGTTTCAATGTACGAGGCTCTCCTGTACCAATATCCCAAGGTACATTGCAGTCTTGTCTGCTTGTTAAGCCGTTAGCTCTACTTGCTTTTCTTTTCCCTACTTTTGCCAAAGTTGGATGAAGTTACTCGGTTAGTGGCTACTACGAACAGTTAAGTCAGTCATTCAAACTGTCTGTCATTAAATGCACTTTTTTGGTATTTTTTCATTTTCCCGACTGTTTCTGCAGAAAAGCGAAAGAGCGAACTTGAAGACCAAAAGTCAGGACCAGTTTCACAATGTGTCTGCTTGAAGTTTGATAAGCGAAAGTTTTTTGAACCCCCACAGCACCTTCAAACCACCTAAGCTCTTGGCAAGGTTAAGCAATTATGACTAAATTTAGACCATTGAAAAGGTGTCGTTTGCTGACGGTCATATGTCCGCATTGTTCCCTCAGATTTAAATGACAAATCAATTGACAACAATTGTAAGCAAAATACTCCAACAATTACACGCCTCAGCAATCGAACCATTTATCGACATTTTATGACGCCGTTTTTGCTTTTCGCATTGATTCCAATTGAGAAACGTCAAGATCATTGGGGATCGATCGTTTGTCATTGCTTTGACACCCACCCATAAAGTCTGCAATTTCTATTAATGACACTGAATATCAAAATGTCAGTCTCAAGTCTACGAAGATGTCTTTGGACAAGCCATGTGTTTGGGTTGATTTGGCATTGGGGTTTTGCATTGAAAAACTCAAATCAAAGTTTCAAAATAGAGAAAACCTCCAAATGACAGATCGCTATCAGATCGCATTTCAAATCGAAGTGGTCAATTCAAAGCGATACCGCTCACTGATTTATATCCTCTCTCGTCTCGTCTTAGTCATCTTAAACCAATTGCCAAATTAAAGTTATAGTTCCATGAATGAAAGCTGACCCCCTTGGAACCTCCTTGATGAGGAAAAAAGAAACCCGCTTTAATTTGGTAAGCGCCCATTTTATTTCTCCCCATTGCATAATCCACTTAGAGTCCGTTCGCTCAGCTAATTTCGCCTTTGATGATGATGCTGCTGCTGCTGTGGCTGCTCCGCTGACCCAAAGCATTAAAAACAAAATATTAAGCCATTAATTTGAAATTTCTACGCCAAGTGTCGGCAGACACCAGAAAAATAAAAAACAAAAGGAAAATTGGCCACTCAAAGTAATTGAGTTGCACTAACTTAACATTTCGTTGCCTGTCTCCGAAATTAACAATCTAAAAAAAAAAGAGGGAAGGGGAAGAGAAGATGGCGTGGCAACTTTTGGGGCAATAAAAATGTCAAGAAATTTATGTGAATAATTTGTCAATTTGTAACCCAGACTTATTTTGACAAGTGCGGGAAAATCATTTTAATCTTAAAAAAAAATGCCGAAAAAAGCATAAAAAATTGTGCTTGCACTCACTCAAAGTGCATTTTGTTGGTTTTTTTTTGGGCAAACCAACTTCCCAGTCTGTCGAGGCTTTTATCTTTATTTTTTTAATGTTTAATAAATGTCAATTGCTTACTGAGGCGGTGAATTTGTTTGTGCTTTTCCGTTCATCAGCGAGACAAACATTGAGGAGCAGAAAAATAAATAAAAACAAAACAACAAAACGTGACATTTGGCTGTTGACTTTTGACACTTGCAATCATTTTTGGGCAGACCGAAGCGAGATTTATATGCAAACCGTTGACTCGACAGATCTTCATGTAAAGTAAGTTCTTCTCCTATACTCGTTTATATATATACTATTTTCCTGCATTGGCAAAACCTTCGATGGCAGCTGCAAAATGTCAGACATGGTTAAAGGAGTGCTGCCATTTGTAAGCTTCGTTTTTTGGGGCAGTGTCAAGAAGAGGATGCCACCGTTTTTCGTCTTCCCCGGCGAAATGCCAACAGGAATTCTAGCAACTCTCGACTTTGGTATCTCGATGGCCTCAACGTGTCAATAAGCTGTCCAAAAATTGTGTTGGCCAACTCGCCCCTATTGTCCGGTTTTGATTTATTGAAATGTTTCTTTTGATTTCTTGACGCCCCTCAAGTGCCGCCTGCCAGTAAGTCCCTGTATCCATATGCATACAAAACAGCAATCTTTTACATTTATTTATTATTTTTTACAAATATTTTTTATCGTTTGATTGTGAACGGAACATGTCCGAAGTAATGAGACTTGAAGACATCACGTCTAGGGCTTTTATTTAATGGTCTTACAAACGGCACATGTTTGAAATCGAAAACGACTCGAATCTATTGTTCAATCAGATTTTATTGATTCGTCTGTCTCTGTGGCCCAAAAATGCCAAACAACTTTTGACACTTTGAAGTTTTGGGGGTGAAAAACACATTAAGGGGGCTTTGATCTTTTGGGTTTCATGGAAAGGCTTTGGAGATTCTAAAACAGATGCAAAAAAATAAGCTATAAACAATCAACTGTCTATGATGGAATCAGCAGATAGTTGATAGATATAAAAATATTTTTATTTAGAAAATTTTAAGCATTTACCTTGCGCTGTATCAAGATGATGACTAATTATTGTTGTAATTTTTAATGGGCTATTATTACCCTTTAACAGAGGTGATTATTATACTCTTACAGTACATGAAAGCCTAATAATTATGCAAGCACTCGTAAAACCAAATTTAACATCACAAACGGTAGTCTGGCTAAGTGCACTCAAAAGGGCATGCATGTCTGTTATTCGCATGCCCATCATAATGTGCAACAATTTTTATATACATTTTTTATAGCCCAGCGCCAGACATGCATGTTAGGCTCAAATTTTTCAAGAAATTCGCAATGGTTTACATATCAGACCTTAGCTACCGCTTCGATTCGGTTGGATATTCGGCACACGTGACCCAAATGGGCGTTACTCCATTTAATTATGTGGCACACCAAGAAACGAGTAAATACATAAAGCATCATTTGTCAACCGGCAAAATTTCGGTTAACTATTACCTCGCGTGGCCCAGAAAAGAAAACCAAGAAAAAAAAAGAAGAAAAGAGCCAGCCCACGAAAATAGAAAATAAATAAATGCAAAAAAATTGAGAGCCAACCCAGCCAGGCGACATGCTATAAACATTTTTGTTCATTTAATTTCGCGCAGACATGAAACATAAGTGAAATTCATTTAGTTTTCATTATTACGCTTATTTTCGTACGCCGAAAGCAGGCCACAAATTGCATGCCACCTAATTTGGTTAGGGCCTCCGGAATGCTTTTTCAACCGGGCATTAACCAGCCAACTATCCGTGCTACGAACGGGCCCCCTAAATGTGACCTCATAAACCATTGACCCACTAACCCCAACCCTAAGTAATGACCCCGGGCGCAAAATGTCAACAAATCCATATAGATTTCCAGCTGAAGGGAGTCCGAATGGGGAGCGGAAAGTAGCAGCCATTCCAGTCGGTTGGTTTGTTGGTTGGTTTGATGGTGTGCTAGGCTTAGATAGAACTAATATCATCAACCAAATTTACTAACTGTGAAAATGCCTTTAATAAATCTGCTATGTATGCTGAATTGATATAAAAAATCCTTTTAAATAGTATTATAAACATCAAAAAGTAAAATCTATTCCTTAGAATTCTGAAGTACTTTGCTATTGACTTAAAAGAAGAAGATTAAAAATTTCTATGAAGAATTTCCATTTTTCCAACAATTTTCTTCGGAATTTCTGGTTACACTTTCAACCCATAGAAAAACCAAAGCAACAGATGTCACAATGCCTGGTCTGGCGAGGTGTGCGCCTGACATATAAACCCTAATACCGCCACACCAACAACCGCCAACAATAGCCGACAACCCCCAACTGCGAAGGGCCAACACTGCGTATGGGTA